CATATAGGAAGAATGTCTGAATGTGGAGCCAACTAGAGGAAAGCAGAGATAAGAGATAGAGAGATTCCATGTGTCATTGTTTGGGCTCCTAAATCCAGCCATGCCTGAAGCCATACTCTCAAGCATATGAGTAGATAATGCCCCCCCCCCAAAGGTTTATTTACTTATTTTGAGAAAGAGGTGAGAGGGGGAGGGGGAGAGGGAGGAAGAATCTTCAGCAGACTCCCCACTGAGTGCAGAGCCTGACACAGGGCTCTATCTCAGAACCCTGACCGAGATCATGACCTGAGCTGAAACCAAGAGTCAGATGCTCAACTGATTGAGCCACCCAGACACACCAATGCTCCCCCCCTTTAAAATTTAAGGCAGTTTGGGTTTAGTTTCAGTCATTAGCAACAAGTTTCCAATATAATACAGATCTCCCTCTACCTTGAAAAAAGCATGCATTTATTTCTCACCATTTCCCCTACACAAGAGCACCTTGATCATCTGTACCCCAGGTCATCCCATCAGAACATTCTGGAGACCATGGTGCCCACTCCCTCATGTGCTCCAAGGTTTCTCTGGCTTGGGTCTCAGGCAGAAGCCATCTCTACCACCCAAAGCTCGAGGCCAGGCGATGTCAGAATCCTGGCTCTGGAGCAGCAAGGCATGGCAGGCCTCCACCCAGGCACTGGCCTCTTCTTCCAGTGTTTCCTTGTGGGTAGGCAGCACATTCTTATATGCATGGGCCCACACTAGATGAGGGGAACCATCCACATGTACCAGGGCCTCTGACTCTCTGGAACATCACTACACTACACTACACAACAAACTGCTAAAAAATTTCCAACATCTGGCTCTGAGGCCCAAACATCCGCTTTTTCGTTTCCCCTTTGCTTCGTGCCATGTTACAGCCTTTATACTTCTTTTGCTTCCAGAAAGGAAATTCATGGGCTGGACATTTGCTGGTTTTGTCTGACCTGTGTCCTTCTTCCGTCTCCTGGCAACAGCCCCCTTGTCGCTTTGAGGAGTGGCCCCGCCCCCATCTCTCCCAGACTGCAGGGTGGCGGGTGTGCTCCGGCCATGGCCAGATGGCATATGCCAGCACCCTGGCCTCAGGCATCCCAGCGCTGGGGCTGTCACCCAGGCTGGGTCAGCCGCACTCTTCCCTGGGACTTTATGCACAGGTGCTGGAAAGCAGTAGGTTGGGTCACCGAATTTGAAAAGTGATGAATCTGGGGTCACTGCAGCCCTGTTCCCCACCATGTGGAGCACGAGTGAGGAAAGCCAGGTGGGGACAAGCAGAGATATAGGATGCATGGAATGTGCCAGTGGCATGGGGCTTTCAGCCTGCTCCAGAGTGTGGAGCGGACACATGAATGCTCCTCTCAGGTGAGAAGGCCCCCCCACACTAGAGGGCTAACCCCTGACAATGACATCCGTGAGTGCTAAGTATGTGCCAGGCACAATGTGAAGTGCTTTTTAGATCCTGTTTAATTCTTACCTCATGATCTAGGCACTAAAATTAACCCCATTTTCCAGATGAGGAAACTAAGGCACAAACAGGTCGAATCAGAGTTTCCCAAGAAGTGTCAAGGCACCAAAGAAAAGAGACAGCATATCGAGGTAAGTGGACAAGGTGTGTCATGGCCAAAGGCGACTGGTCCAGCACCTCAGGCTGCCCTGGGTCCTATGTGGCTGGCTCTGACCTGGGGACCCTGGTCCACTTGGAACCCATCTGCATGCCTCAGGCCACCCACCCGGCGTGGAACAGGACAAGCTGGGACTTGAAAGCTGGGGATCTCAGAGCCCAGCCCCTAATCTAACCACAGAGACATGGGAACTTCAGCTTGTTCCAAACCACCCAAGGGAAGCAGCACAGATAGCCTTAGACTCCGGTACGCTCGAGGGCTGTGCCCTCTCCTACTGGGTGACCTTGGGCAGATCACTGTCCCTCTGTGGGCTCCAGCTTCTTCTCTGAAGGACGCATCTGCAGCATGCATTAGCTGGTACCATCCAGATCCGTCTCCCTGGTAGGGGCACAAAGCCCCAGACCCTGGGCTGTCAGCCAAAAGTGTGGGCTGAGCTCTGTTCTCAGAGAAATCCGGCTGGGGGCATGCATTTGAATGAAGGTAGACGTCCCTGGGAGATACTATTGATCAAAGAACGCCACAGTTCCTCTGCCCTGCTGTCTCCATTCTTGGGGCTGAAAAGGCCTCCCCCATTCTCCGGTCCCTTCTGCCTCTCTGTGACCCCGCTCTGGCCATGATGTTCACGTAGACATCCACTAGTGGTTTCTGGGCAGGTTTTGCTTTTCTGGATAGAAAAGAACAAGATGTCCCCCTTCCTTCCACCTTCAATAGGGTTGTGGAGGCCACATGTCTGAAGGAACACTGTGAAGACTCATGAGAGCCACTCCCGGACTTCTAGGCGAGGAGAGGACAAGGAACCCCAATGTATTCAAACCACTGTTAGGTGAGTTCTCGGCAGCTTGCAGCTGAAAACATCCCTACCTGACAAACCCACCACTAGGGACAACTTCCTGGCTGCCCGCAGAATGGCACCCTTACACAGGGGTGGTGTGACGGCCTGCAATGCCGGGCCAGAGTGCATCACCTGCGGACGATGTGGCAAGAGGTGTCAGGGAGGCCGTACGATATCGTACCTGGAGCTTGAATCTAGATCCAGGTGGTGTGGCTTGCTAAGGACGGCTTTGCCAACTCTGGCTGCAATTTCAGAGGGAGGTAGCTAGGGGAGAAAAGGTTTGGTGACCCCCCTCCACCCCCGCCACCGACTCAAGGCTTCACGCGCTCTGGCAGGACCCCGACCAGTCGGGAGAATCCACACTCACGGGACACTGCCCACCCACCTCGGGCTGTGCCCGGTGGTATCCTTTGCTGAAATGGGCTCCTTTGAGTTTGTCGCTGTAAACGCAACCCGTGTAAGATTCGTGAAGCAGAATGCTCGTGTCCTCTGACCTCTGAGGTCTGAGCTCTCCATCTATTCCATGCTTTTCTAGCATGTCCGCAATTGTATTGGAGTGCCGTGTTAATACCCAGTGTTAACACAGATGTGAAATTCAGATGTGTCTGCTCTACTCAGTTCCCTAACCCACCATGAGGTGAGAATATCAAGACTTGTTCTGGGTCCCCTTGCTGGCTCCTCTACCCAGAGGCAAGTCCTCCTTGTCAGTGCAACACCGTATCCGGCTCTAAAGTCTGTTTCAGCCCGCAAATCCTGAGGTTCCATCCTTGCAGAAGACTCTGACTTGGAATAGAGAACAGCAGGCCCGAGGCTCCCCCCAGCTCCTGGCAAGGCCTCCAGGTATGGGGCTGCTGGTCTATCCCTTCTCAGGTGCTGGAGGTCAGGCCCTGCGTCTTCTCTCTCTGGACCCAGATACAGCCTCCTCACCTGCCTCCTTGCCTCTAGTCGTCCCTCCTGCCTGATCTGTCCTCCACACGCAACCAGAGGGGTCTCCGTGAAGCTCAAATCTGATTACTTTTCTCCTTGCATAGCCCTTCTCTGTCTCCCTTGTTGTCTGGGGTAAAGGCCTCATGTTCAGCCTGGTACTCAGATCCTTTGCCACCCCCTGCCTGCCTTCCAGCTTCCGCGCCTGCCACTTTCCACTTCAAACCCTCCACCACAGTAAGCCTTTCTGTTCCCAGGAGGCACCAGGGCCCTTCACATCTCTAAGCCCTTGTATTCACTGCAACCTGCATTTGCAATGCCTGAGAAAACTCCTACTCATCCTTCAACACCCAGCTTGGATGATGGCATTCCCCCAAGAGATGTCCTGACCCCTAGCCAGTCATTTATGCCGCCTCTGTGCTTGTCTACACTCTGCAACTTTGTTAGTGTCCTGTCTACAATTGGCTGAGACTGTCCATTGTTTGCTGGGGGTCTCCAGAGACGGAAGGCTCTCTAGGGGCCGGACTCTGTGAATAGTAACAATACCAACCACCACCACCGTTACCATTGATGAGGGATCAATAATAATAATTTCTAATATTTATTAAGCATTTTCTCAGTGCTAAGCACTATTCTAGGTGCTTTATATGTATTAGCATTCTGAATCTTCAAATACCCTAGGAAGTGGATTAGTAATATTCTCCTCACCCCCATTTTACAGATGAGGAAACCGAAGCTCACAAAATGAGAATAACTTGCTGCAGGTCACACTCCCGGAGCTGTACTTCCAGCTACTGCACCCCACCGTCTGCCCATGTCTCACTGGATATTCCACCCCCAGACCCAGAAGAACAGAACCCCATGCCTACTTTGTGAATGAGGAGACGGGGGCTCACAGAGAGAAAGGGAAGGGCTCCAAGCCCCACAGGAACTATGTGGAAAAACTGGGATTCCAAAGCAGGTAAGGCTGGGCCTCCTGAGCCTGGGCCCCGCCCCGCCACGCCCGTCTCTGTGGGGAGGGGTCCCAGGCCAGAGCGTGCAGCTGGTGCCTGGCCAGCTGCCCCTCTGTGAGCCCCGGGTATGGTCCGAGAGAAAGGCCTCAGTTCCCACCAGCGGCCACCCACACACCTGCTTCCAAGACTAATGGAATCCGTGACCAGACGCCTCCCAGCTCCAGATGGTGCTCCATGCCCCACTGCCCCGCCTCTGCCTGTCTGCTTCCCTCCCTCCCCTGACCTGCTGACTTTGCCCCCCCTTCCCCAAGGTCAGGCTGGGCTGCTGCAATGGGGCAGAAGAAAGGAGGTGTCCCTCCGATGGCCTCATCTTTGTGTCCCCTCCACAGTGGCCTCCTTGGTGGCCGGCCAAATGAGCTGTCCTCCTACCCGCACCCCCTCCAAGCCTTTTCATCTTTCTATTCCAGACAACAAAGCCACGGAGGCCAGGCGGAGGCCCCTCCTCCCTGCTCCGGCTGAGCTTGGTTTTTCAGTCTCCTTTTATGTGAGTTTGAGCCCAGCCCCTGCCCAGGGGTGTTGGCCCCAGGCTGCCTGCCCAGGTGTCCTGAAGGCCCAGCTGCCCCTCAGCGCAAAGCCAAGGCAGGCGCAGCAGGCAAATGGCCGAGACACCGGGGCTTCGAGAGAAGGTGGAGATGCCCACAAACCCCCAGTCGCCGGAGTCAAGGGCAGATCCTCCAGGAGCACCACTCCTCCTGAAGCAGGATCTGTTCACTGGACCACTCAGGGCTCACCTTGTGCTGGAGTCCCATATGCCCACACCTTCCTCACCAAGACATGTTTGGGGTCAGTGTCCACCTGCATGCTCAAGCGTCCATTCATTCGCCATCTTGGGAGCCCGGGGCTGGGTGCTGGCCTAAAGAAATGCCACACGGGCTACCTTGGTGAGGGTGCAGAGTACCCCTAGCCACCCTAAAGCGTTCAGCAACCTGGAAAAGCCAACTTTGAGACAAGCCTGTTCTGCGTCTAACCAGGCTTTCTCCTGGGGCCTCCACCATCCAGGAAGGCTCCAGCTGCCACAGGTGGCCTGTTTTTTGAGACAAGAAAAGGGATTTGGGCCACAAGCTCCAGAGAGAGGCAAGGGTGGGGGGCGTGTGCTGTTTAACACACATGGGCTATGCTCCCTTTGATTCTCCTGGGAAGAGCTCAGTCCTAGAGTTCAATGGGGCTGGCTGTGGCTCCAGCAGGGGGTATGTGACCAAGGTTTTCACCAATCAGAATATCAAATTGTCTTGGCCCCCGTGATGCGTTCAGGGATGAACATGTGTCCAAGTCGGTTCAATAATTTCCAGTTCCAGGAATTCCATGGGATGGCTCAGATGAGAGATGATCTTTCTACCGGACTTGGAGCTTTGAAGAGGTAAGCACCCCAAAGGCTACCAGGGGAGAGAACTTGCCTGAGAGCAAAGCAGAGCTTCTATATTCTGGTGACATTGTTGAGTACCTGGATCCAGCCATGCCTGAAGCTGGCTGGCTACCCTTTCCAGGAGACACTTTTTTTTTTTTTTTAAGATTTTATTTATTTATTTGACAGAGAGAGACACAGCGAGAGAGGGAACCCAAGCAGGGGGAGTGGGAGAGGGAGAAGCAGGCTTCC